GATAGATGGGAATATCGGAGTATAGTACAGAGAGGGGAAATGGAGTGTATAGGGAATAGCAGAGGATGTGTGGTTATGGTATGGTGGAGGACTGGATCTAATAGAATAGGTGAGGATTTCTGAGTTTGGTACAGAGGAGAAGTGGTTGTATAGCAATTTCAGAGAATATGTAGTTACGGTATGGTGGAGGGCTGGATGTAGTGGGATAGGTGGGATTGTTGGAGTATGGTACAGAGGGAAAATGTATATATAGGAATAGTAGAGGATGTGTGGTTATGGTATGGTTGAGGACTGGATCTAATAGAATAGGTGAGGATTTCTAAGTATGGTAGAGAGGAGAAATAGCTGTATAGCAATAGCAGAGAATATGTAGTTATGGTATGGTGGAGGACTGGGTATAGTGGGAAAGTTGAAATTATCTGAGTATAGTAGAGAGGAAATGTATGTATAGGAATAACAGAGAATGTGTGGTTATGGTATGGTGGAGGACTGGGTATAGTGATATAGGCATAAATGTCAGAGTATCGTACAGAGGAGAAATGTATGTATAGGAATAACAGAGAATGTGTGGTTATGGTATGGTGGAAGACTGGGTATAGTGAGATAGGCATACATGACGGAGTATGGTACAGAGGAGAAATGGATGTATAGGAATAGCAGAGAATGTGTGGTTATGGTATGGTGGAGGACTGGGTATAGTGAGATAGGCATACATGTCGGAGTATCGTACAGAGAAGAAATGGATGTATAGTAATAACAAAGAATGTGTGGTTATGGTATGGTGGAGGACTGGGTATAGTGGGAAAGTTGAAATTATCTGAGTAGTACAGAGAGGAAATGGATGTATAGGAATAGCAGAGCATGTGTGGTTATAGTATGGTGGAGAACTGGATGTAGTAATATAGGTAGGAATGTTGGAGTCATTTACAGAGTAGAAATGGATGTATACTAATACCAGAGAATGTGTGGTTATGGTATGGTGGAGGACAGGATGTAGTGGAATAGGCGAGAATGTCGGAGTATGGTGCAGAGGAGAAATGGGATGTATGGGAATAGCAGCGGGTTGGTTTTTATCATCAAGTAGAGAACTTGATGAATTAGTATTGCAGAGGATGCCTGAATACTGTTCTTGAAAGGAGAAAGTTTTGTTATTGTGGACTGAAGAACTGGATGTATAGGAAGATTAACATTTATGTGTCATACATTTACATGTATGAATTTATGTTATAGTTTGTACATGGTTTATGAAAAAACCCATAAGTGTTGCGAAGTAAACCAATAACTAGACACTAGTTCATATTTATCCCAGTTGTGCAAGTAAGTTACGTCTATAATGCCGTACTTTGAATGAATAATAAGATTTGTTGGAAAATTAAAACTGCTGATTGACTTTTTGATTAATTTATCATACACACTTAAAGGTGTCCAATTCCTGGTCCATGTTTAAAAGGGGTCCAAACTAAAATCTTACTGCTGGGCAGGTGGTCTGTGCTGGAGGATCTTGGTTGTTTGAAGTCATAGCTAATCCACGACTTTGCCTGAACAGTCTCATTTGTTGTTTTAAGAACCTCTGGGGCAAAAGATATCCCACAACCAGTGCCTTGGCAGTTGTCACATGACTGGTTACAGGAAGGTGGGGCAGTGGTTTAGGCTGCTTGCCATAGTCTGTTTTTTTATGGTTGCTTTGCTCATCATCATTATAGACCAGCCTTTTTCAACCAGAGTGCTGTGGCACTCTAGGGTGCCTTCTAGGTTCTTCACAGGTGCCTTGGAAAAAATGCCTAAATATTGCTCTATATTGCCCTAAAATTGTCATCAAACTGAGTCAAGCCTGCCATTTTTGTTAGGTTAGGTTTTTTTTTTTCCATTGTGCAGCATTACAACTTAGGGAACCCTGAAGGCCAGCTGCTGTCATCCTAATACCCAGTGACATCATAGGTTGATATGGATGGCATTTGGTTCCCGAGGGTCCTTATTTGCCCTTGCCCTCTCCCTTTCATCAGCCCTAGGATCATGTCAGGCGAGTGAGGGGGAAGAAAAACTTTGGAGTACTAGTCAGTATGTACTAATAAATCACCTCTTATGTTGGATGTCCTACATGTGTGGATGTTCCTGCCTTATGTAAAACTATTAAAATGTTTTATTTAGTTTTTACATTTTAGGATTTCCATTAGGATATAGTTTTTACATTTTAGAATGGGGTACTTTGAAAATTGTGCATAATTTTAAAGGGCGCCTTGACTGGAAAAAGGTTGAGTTGTTCTAGATCTAGACCTTTTAGTTGCAGCACTTTGTGATAAACCTCCACATAAATTTGAATGAAGATCATTTTTTATTGCCCAGAGCTAACATCTCAGTAAACGAGGAGTATGCAGTGAAAGTATGGGTGTATATTCCTAGCAAGGCCACCATTCATTTTGGGTGATTCAGTCAACTTCAGAGAAGATCAGTGAGCAGGCTTTGTTAGCTGTACAGGTATTTCAGAAATGCCAAATTATAATAATGCTAGCAATACAATAGCAGCAATTTTGTGGCCATTTCAGCCAATTTTCTAGGATCAAAAGTGATTGCAAGACTGAAGGTAACTTATAACAAATGAATTTGATGGACACAAGATCACAGATTGAAATGGATAGATTTAAAGTGTATGCAAACACACATTTTAATGTTTGGAATAGAATTGGGAAGGGTTTGACCTTTTCTCAACCTTGTATTGCTGTCTTTGTCCCTGTTGTGGAGATCCCCCCCCTATTTGTCCTGGAGACCATTATCATAGATACAGAAAGAGGAAATTCTAAAGAGCTGCCACCAGGCCAAGGGGTGAGGTAAATCCACCAATGTGGACACCTGTTCCTGTGCCAACTCTTCAAGATGAGAATTCAATTCACTTTTGGGAGATTTTCTATCATTTCCTGTTGTGCAACAGGACAGGAAGTGAAGGGAACACCACCCAGCAGCAAAAAATAACCTGATAGGGTTTTAACCCATCCCTAATAATAAAAACAAGTTTTGTCTTTACATACACTTTAACCACTTGTCCTCTAGAATGTTATACTCCCTTCATGATCAGGACATTTTTTTTTTTTTGCTATTCGGCACTGCTCTACTTTAACTGCCAATTGCTTGGTCATACAGCACTCAATTTAAATGAAATTTATATAATTTTTTTCACACAAATATAGCTTTCTTTTGCTGGTATTTAATCACCACTGAGTTTTTTATTTTTTGTTATGTAAACGAAAAAATACCAAACATTTTGAAAGTGTTTTCCTTAGTTCTGTTATAAAGTTTTGCAAATGTGTGATTGGCTACAGCTAATCACATGGTATAGATAGCCAAGTACCATGTGATTGCAGTGGGCCAATCACAGATCACAACTGTCAGCAAGCTGTTTATGAATGGAAATCCATTCATAACCATGTGTTCACATTGTTATCGTGATCGCTATGACCAGTCATAGTTATCACATGATACCCAGTACCTAGTTACCAGGAAGCAGTCACAGGAGAGGTCCCTAACGCAGAGCGGCTGGATTTCATACATGTATGTCATCCAGCCTGCCTGTGCCGCCCACACGCAGTAACTGTACTGTAGGCGGGTGGGAAGTTGTTAATAAAGAATTGTGATTAACCACTTGCCCTCCTGAGGATTTACCCCCCTTCCTGACAAGGCCATTTCTTGCGTTACAGCGCTGCTTTACTGTAACTGACAATTGTGTCATGCAACGCTGCACCCAAATGAAATTTACGTCCTTTTTTTTCCACACGAATTGAGCTTTCTTTTGGTGGTATTTGGTCACCTGTGCCTTTTTTTCATCTTTTGCGCTATAAAAAAAAAAGGTCAACAATTTTGAGAAAAAAATCTTATTTCTGACTTTTTGCTATTGAACATATCCAGTAAAAAAATCAGATTTCGTCATAAATTTAGGCCAAAATGTATTCTGCGAAATCCCAATACGTGTAAATTAATTGGTTTACGTGAAAGTTATAGCGTTTACAAATAGTGGTATAGATACTGGAATTTTTGTTTTTTTCTAGTCATGGCTGCGATGAGCGACTTATAGCGGGACTGCGGCGGGCATTCTGACACTGGGGGGGGGGAACTGACTTGGTGTCACTGACATCCCCAGTAACACCAATACAGTGATCAGTGCTAAATAAAAAGCACTGACACTGTACTAATGGCACTGGGCAGGAAGGAGTTAACATGAGGGTCGATCAAAGGGTTAACTGTGTGCTGGGAGTGTTTTACTGGGGGGCAGTGTGTTGGTGCTTCACTGTAAGTACACTGCTCTGGATGGCTGTGCTCTGCACAGCTACCCAGAGAGCAGTATGCTTGAGCCAACAGGGAGGAGGACTGTTAGTAAACAAAGCAGCCCTCCTCCCCATCAGAGATCCTCGGTAATCACTGGCGGGTAATCACCCTGTGATTGACAGCTGCGGCCGTGAATGGCGGCGCGGGTAGGGCTCATGCGCGCCCCCTACACGGAAATGCAAAAACCACGTATATATATGTGATTTTTCTCAACCCTGTCGCCCTGTAGCAGTATATCTGCTATAGGGTTGTGGGGAACACCCCCTTCTTCTTCAACATACACAGACTTTTTCTTCTCCAACACTCGTTTTGGCTGCTGAAAGTGAAGAAAAACCCTTGTAAGCTCAGAGTTGCCGTAGTCACAGCTTCCACCAGTTATTAGACAACAGTGCTGTGTTATATATAAAACAGTGCTTAGTGCAGTTCTGTTATGTGTTCAATGTGACAGGTTCCTTTTCTCAGGATTAAATAAAACCTCTAAATTTCATCTTTTTTTGCCACTACAACCATTGTACTGATGTAATTGCTTGCATCGTCTTTTCAAGCTTTTTGACCACTGGTCTGCCACAAATGTTTTTATTTGTCTCTCATCAATTTTTCTTTATTCTTTTATTTTTGTGGGTTTATTTTTAATACTATGATCTTTTTTCCTTCAGCTGGCAGCCATGGATCGGATGAAGAAGATCAAACGACAGCTTTCCATGACCCTTCGGGGTGGGCGGACAGCTGAAAAAAGTCCCGGAGACCATTCAGAACCCATCACTTTGGAGGACAATGGCAGCAGTGATAATGGTAAGTGATGCTGTCCATTGAATACTAGAGGGTAGGATGGATCTAATGGGTGAGAGGGCACAGGTGAGTGCATTCGAAGGTCACTGGCATCTCTAACTGGAGTAAGAGCAAGGATGGTTTATTGAATGGAGCATTCTAAAACTGGAGAGCATTTTAGGTAGAAGAAAAGATGGCAGAATAAAAGTGTAAGCTAGCTGATTCCAAGGTAGCCTGAAAAGGCTGTTGGATAGTTTCTGGGAGAACCTTGGTAGTGGGCCAGTGGGATCTTGGTGAGGTCAAAGGAGTCAGACCACTCTTTGTCGAAGATCATGAAATGAAAAGAAATGACGTTGACTAAGACGACTATTGAACACTGGTCCAGGTAGAAGGCTGACATAGGTAAGGAAAACGTAAGAAATCTTTGTAAGGTTTACAGGGGTTGAGGGAAGACTAGTTGGGGCTTAGTGGAAGAAAGCTGCGTAAGATGGCTAAGCAAAGAAACACAAAAACTGGAATTCAGTCCAAACCTTTTATTTGTGTTTTTTGGGTGGAGAGGAAAGGTTAGACTGTTACATGACTAAGAGTACATACAGTACAGTAACTATTTACATAATGGAGCACCCTAGGGCTTTAGAGCCCTACAAGTTATCTGACCATGTATTCAGGCACCTTAATGGTTCCTGTATGAAAGTCTATACAAATATCCAGTTACTACAGTATGTGATAAAATACACACAAAAACACACCCCTGACAGGTGGGGGTCTGATAGGCACTGCAGCTCACAATGGGAGGGGATCAGCAACAGAAGTAGGGAACGGGACTAGGTGTGGCCATGTGCTGATTGACCCTTTACAGGCCATTTTTTTTATTCGGAGGCCATAGTTCTGTTTTAAATGCAGTTAGAGGAGCTAGGTAGATTCTGGTGTTTTTTTTTCATTCAACTCAGCAGGCTGAATGAAAAAATACCTGAGAGGTCACTGTACTAACTAAGATATCAGTGCGGTGATCAGGCCTGACTTATGGGTTTGGACTGGGGGACTGCCCCCCACCCCCCCTCCCCTTCCCACTAGAATACACTGATCAGCACATTCAGCCATTGGCTGGCAGAGCTGATTGGATGCTGGTTTCCCAGCTTGCTTGTTCGATAGACCTGCTTCTGTTGGACAGGGATCTGTACACGCTGGGTAAATGTTAGCCCGGTTTCTGTTTCAACTGGCTGATACCGTCCAATATTCGGCCCATGTGTACCAGCCTTTAGGCGAATACAGGCATACTTTAAATTCTAGTCCACCCCGTTGAGAGAGTTTACTTTGCCATGGAATTCAGCTCTCCCTGTTAATCACAGGTCCTCTTACCTGTTGAACGCTTCATAACGGAGAGCAAGTACATGTGCATGCGCCTGTTGTGCAGGTCACATTATTCTACAGTGGCACACCTCTTCATTTCTTAAAGCGGAGTTCCACTCACCCTGTCAAAAAATAAACATCAGCAGCTACAAAAACTGTAGCTGCTGACTTTTAAAAAAAACAGTCACTTACCTGTCCCTCGGTCCCGTGGTGTGTCCCCCGCAGCCCGTTTCACTGGCTGTCCTGTATTCCAGGAGGCCGGCATCTTCAGTGTGGGCACCCAGCTGTGATAGCTTGCGGCTTCACAGCCGGGTACCCACTGCGTATGCGCGAGAAGCACTGCGCTTCCTGAATGGTCCTGTAGTCTTCCGGGACCTGTCACGTGTCCCAAAAGACTACAGGGAGGACACCTTCCGCTTCCGGAAGGCGATCGGGATGGAAGTGGGAGCGGGTACCTGTCAAATTTGGGTACCCGCTCCCCCCCAAAGGTGCCAATCCTTAATGGGGAGTGGGGGAGTAGTCCTTAAAGCGGAACTTCCCCATTTGGGTGGAGCTCCGCTTTAAGCAGCCTGTAGATGAATCATTTTTTTTCCTTCAATCAGCGTATTGAATGAATTAAAATGACTTTTCATTTTGAATGGGGGAATCCTCCTTGCTGCTCTATTGTATTCTGATAGTGAGGAGACTTCCCTGTCGGCTGTGCTGATCAAGCAGCAAAAATCCAACAGGGGGGCTGTACAGTTAGATCGACTTCTGTACAACCACTCTGCCCATACATAGATGGAAATTTGGCCGGTACCTGCTAAACTGGATGAATTTTGATCCATGTATGGCCGACTTTATATGCAGCACTAGGTTGTTATGCTGTTGCCGATCCAGCAATAAAACCTCACTAGTGGTGCATGCAATGCCCGTCTCTTTAGCTTTAGTTGGTTGTGATATTGTCCACAGGCCATCTCATGGATGGCTTTCAGTAACTCTGTGACAAACCTAACTACACCCATTGGGTGGAGAAGCACCCTGTGGCTAGGTTAAGCGGCAGCGGGGAATTATTATTGATGTACAGGTTTCCTTGCCTGTTTACAGCAATTTAAAAATAATTACAGGCGGAGAAGCTTGTTAAATGAATAGTTCAGAGAAGCCAAGGGCAGGAACTTTGTTTGGGCTTCGTGGTAAGTCACTTGTTGGAGATTATCGATTTGTTGAAGCATGTGTTTTTCCGCACTTGAAAAGGTAGCTTACCCACAAACCAGTTCTTAAAGGAGGCCCCGATGGTGAGTGCCCGCTTTGCATGCTGCTGGTTTTGGGTTAAAATCTAGAAATTTTTCTTTTCCTCTTTTTGTTTTTATTCATTTAGTTTTGTTTTTTTCGTTTTAATCTGTATTATTTTTGTTTTCTTTTTTTAAGTTAATTTTATTCTTCCCTTGCTGTTTTCCCCCCTCTCTGGCACCTCATCCCCTTTAAATTTGTCATTTCCCACTTTGTCTGCCATTGTAATCACCCTTTCTCTCCTTTGTCTCTTTACTAACTGTGCCATGGCTACCTGTTCCATTGTCTTTGCTTCCTTCGTCTCCATGCCTCCATCCTTCTCCTTCCTGCATCGGATCTTTGTCCTGCCACATCCTTGTCTTTCCTCCTTACCCTTTCCACCCTTGATCTTGTCCCGCCCCCTCCCCCCTCCCCTCAGAGCCCATCGTCAGAAATGGGAGAAGCCTTTCGTCCCACAGCATGCAATCCTTCCTGCACCACTACACCGCCAGCTCCTTCCAAAAAAAGCCGCCCATCCCCCGCCCCACAGTGCCGTCTGCAGGAGTCTCAGCTCTTACCTGAACCGGAGCAGCCGACTAGGTACGTGTGTGCGCGCTCCATCGAAAACCATCGGGCCTATTCAGTAAGGCATTGCAAACGATGCAAACGCGCAGTAACCCATAGCTGAAGAGTGCAGCGCTTATAAACAACAGGTGAACAAAAGAGAGCAGTAAAGTCCTTAATGTTAGAATTATGGAATAGTCCAGCAAATATATAGATGAATATAAAAAATTGAGGTGACTTGGTGACTATCCGTGTGGTAGTGGTAATGAAATGCGCACTCACCGGGCACGCATATTAAATGCACCTTATGTGTGATTATCCTGATGTTAGGTAACAGGTGGTCCTCCCTCTATGGGGTCCGAGGTAGATGGTCCTCTTCCTCAAAGGGGTCCCCCTGTGTAAACCTGATGGATGCTGTCCCTCCGGATAGTCTGGGTAGTGGGTGGTATTCCTTCCTTAGAGTGGATCTGTGGGCTAGAACACTCCCCCAGGGGGTGACAAAAACACTCCCATAGTGTAGTATGTTGTGAAGGCTTTTATTATTAAAGATACATCAGGGTACATCTGGGTAGATTAGGAAAAAATCGTTGCAGACAGTAGTCTGAAAAAGCACTGACCAGCACTGTGTTAAAATGGCTGCCGGAGCTCCATGTTGCTCCGGCGGCGTGACGACACGGCGTGGTGTGGCTCCTCCTGACGCGTATCGTGCTCCAGCACGTCTTCAGAGGGGGGTCGCCAAGACGGAGGGACAGCATCCATCAGGCTTACACAGGGGGACCCCTTTGAGGAAGAGGACCACCTACCTCGGACCCCATAGAGGGAGGACCACCTATTACCTAACATCAGGATAATCACACATAAAGCGCATTTAATATGCGCATCCGGTGAGTGTGCATTTCATTACCACTACCACACGGATACCCAAGTCACCTCAATTTTATATTCATCTATATATTTGCTGGACTATTCCATAATTCTAACATTAAGGACTTTACTGTTCTCTTTTGTTCACCTGTTGTTTATAAGCGCTGCACTCTTCATATACATTGTCTTCTCCATAGGTCATTGGTACCGTTTTTCTGTGCATAGCAGCTTGTTGAATATTACTAAGGCGCTTATACTACTTTTTATACAGTAACCCATAGCTGTTCATTAAGTTTCTCGGTAGCCAAGTCTCGTCAGCAAAAGATGGAACTGGGTTGCTGAGGGTTTTGCACAGTGCCTTACTAAATATGCCTGCAGGTGTGTACATCTGAATACTGAATACCGGGTGTGGCCCTACTGCCATACCTCCCTTTGCTTGTGCACACCACCAGGTTGTGTTGTGTTTGTGTGTACGTATCACTTCGTGTGTATCTTTGTGAGATAGACTGAAATCGTCTTGTATTTAAGATGTTTGTAAATATTTCATATATATTTTTTTTTATATTGTACAGTATATACAAGCCTCCTGCCGGTCATTAAAGGACCTTTTCATGATCTTTTATTTCCCCCCATCCGATATTCTAATTTCAGTTTTACAATCAAAATCGGCTTCTTGTATTTTATGGCATTTTAATTCTAATTTCTATGACCGTACTATTTGTCTTGCAAAGTTTAATTGAAATTTAAGCTTTCCTCACTCCTTTCTTTTTCCCTATAATGCCCATAAAGTGAAACTTCCATTCTCAAAACATGTAAACATAGTATTATCTTCAGAATGTGATTCATTATTATTGTTACAGGTTTTTATATAACACTGGTTATTTTGTGCTTTACATATATTGCACATTCACATCAGTTCCCGCCCCCAAGGAGCTTACACTCTAAAGATCTCTACCTCACATTCATACATACACATAGTAAGTCCAATTTAGAGAGGA